TAGTAGATAAAAATATGATAGTAATTTAACTTTAATTGCATCAAAACTAAGTTGACATTTAGAAGTCTATTCAAATTTGGAGGTCTTCTTTAACAAATTAGTTAATGGTGAGGTATGAATAGAATATGACTCAATCGAGTTGTAATACCAACCTATGTGTTTGAAAATCTTTTAAATGTCTTTTACTTCATTTGAAAGTAGTAAGTTTGCAATGACATCTACTTTTTTAGAATTAGATTTTTTTTCTTCTTCTTAGAAATGATATAACTTAATAATTATTTTTTTTTAATTATCAAATAATTTTTTTATAGATTGAATAAAGTTCCTACTATTTTACAATATTAAAAGTAAAATTGAAGGCTTTTAAGGTGATTATTCTTTAATAATTGATAAATAAAGTCATTAATAAAAAATAACAAAGTTTTTTGAAAGAGGTCTAAAACAAAATAAGTCATGACTCTTTGAAAAGCTAAAAGAACATTGCATAAGTCAAAAGACACTATCACATATACAAAAATTTCTCAAGATGATATAAATGTAGTCTTGTGACAATCTTCACAAGCTATTAATATTTGATTATAACCAAAGTAAATATCTATAAAATTATATAAGTTATGATTTGCTTCATCGTCTACTATAGAAGTAATAAAAGACAATGAAAAATAGTCTTTTTGAGTGTATTTATTCAAATCTTTATAATTCATACATATCTTAAGTTAAATTCTTTTCTTCTTCTTCACAAAGATAATATAAAACAAACAATCTATAGTATCTATAGATTTTATAAATCTTACTTAAAATAGCCTTTTTAATTTATTTTTTTTACAATGAGTTGCATCTTATAATTGACTCTTTTATGTTTTTTTCTAATAAGTATTGTGTTTAGAAGAAATAGGATAGTGTATTTATAAATGCTAAGAAGAATATTTTTTAAATCTTTGTAAGACCATTCAAATATATTGTAATATTTTATTTCCAAAAATTTATAGTTTTGCAATTCTTTTTTACCTAATTGAAATTCAAATATAACATATTTGAATTCTTTTTCATCATAATTTATTAGAAATTTTATCCAATTTTGTTTTATCACATGTATTGAATCAGTAGGTTTGTGGTACTATTCTTTAAGTATTGGTGGATAAATAAGTATATTATGTCCAAGTTAAATGCTTTAGAACATATGTTTAAATTTTAAAGAAAGAAACATGATAGTGTCAAAGTCTTCAACTTGAAATCCATCAATTTCTAAATTAAAAGCTTTATTTGTATAAATATCATTGACTAAAGTTGTAAGATTTGAACAATCATCTTTAAATTTAAACCAATCAATTACATCTATAAATCAAATGTGAATGTCTTCTTCTTTATAATTTTTTTCTTTTAACCATTTGGAAAAATCACCTTCATTTTCATATTCATATAATCCATGGCTAATACATTTTATTAATGTATTAGTTGAAATTTAATTGGATTGAATAAAACTAATTTAATTGGCTTTTATGGTTGTTGGTATTTTTTTATTTATTATAGTTAAAACTTAGAGTTTAAAATAACTTAAAACTATGGCTATTGTGGAATTGTCTAAGGGTCTAAAAGTGAAGTAAGGCTTTGAAGCCCTCAAATTAGTTACTTCTTAAGATTACCTTAGTTATCTCTTTCTTAATAAAAGAGGGTAACTATCCACTTCTTCATGTAAACATATCACATAAAATGATATTCCATAATCTACATCTCTTACTTATATATGAAGGTCGCAAATTAGACCTAGAGGTTGAAAAGGTCTTTAATTAGCTAATTTCATCTTCATGACTACCTTTTGATTGGTTTTTAATTTTAATTTATTCATTGTGGATTCAAACATAGTATTCATATTACTTCTATCATCTACTATGATACTAAAAATTATTTTATCTACTATTTTTAAATCTATTTCAAGAGATCCATATTTTCAATTGTCTTTCTTTTCTTCTATGATAATATTCCTTTCTAAATTATTAACTTCCATTCTAGTTATTTCTTTTGTATTCTTGATTTTTTTTTTATAATATTATTCTTTCTTTGAGCTTTTTTTGATAGTTAATGCTACTTAAATCAATTGATAAAAAAAAATGTTGGCTCTAGATCTACAAAGATCTTACCATAAATCATAAGATTTTCCAAGATTGAAGGTTTTATTAGATGTTGCATGTTTCACATACAAGTACTCTTTTTCATATTCTTTGTCTACATATTAATATTCTTCTTCATCAAGTTCAATTAAAGAAATAGATTGTTTATTTTTTAATTTTTTAGCTACTTCTTGAATAATTATTGGCAATTTAGCAAACTTAGGTGATTCTTCTAAAGTAACTACAAACATTTTATCTTTTTAAAGTTATATAAAATCTATTGGTCTTTTATTACTTATACTTCTGGTTACAACTATAGAAGGTAATATCCATTATTTAGAGGCATCTTCTTACTATGTAATTATACAAAGTTAAATTGAAAAAATAATAAATTAAATATAAAAGATATTTTAAGCTGAGCCATTATAAATCTAACATCTTGAGAAGTTTATAGTTGTTGGTTTTAGTTTTGATTTGGTTATATGCAAAAGATATTTGTAATGTCTTTTGATTATTGTGAGTCACTAAATTGACTCACTAATTATTTTAGAATAAAAAGATGCATTTGGAGTACTTAAAATCACAATATATGATAAGTAGTATAAAAATCCTTAGACAAATAGAAAATTAGAATGTTAATTGTAGAAATAGAATCTTAGTAAGACTTAGAAGCAATTATCTTAGTTGATTAAGTATTTTTACTTATTATTGAGTGTCAAGGATTATTTATTAAAATTAATATTTACATTGGCCTCATATCTATATGTATTAATTATAAAAAAAAAAAAAAAAAAAAAAAAAAAAATTTAATTTTTAGTTAATAATTAGAAGAAGAATAAGAAAGAACCTCATGTCTTTTTAATTAGTTATATAGAAAGTAAGATTTATAGTAGATTTAAATTAATTTTATTACTATAAAAAACTATCAAGATAGAAAAATATAGCTTCAAATTAATATTAATATTATAGAACTATTATAAAAAAAAACTAGAATTTATTTAGAATTTACTTAGAATTGTTTAGGAATTTTTAGAGTAATTTCTAAGACATTGGTAAAAATGAGTTTTATCACTTCGAGAGCCATTATGAAGAAATGGAGCAAGATTTAAATGCCCCACAAGATTCATAGGCTAATTGGATGTTTTTAAACACCATGGTGAAGTCAAAAATAAAAAAATATTGATTTTACTAGTAGAAAATAGGAGGATTAGCAGCTAGTATAGTCCTTATAAGAAAAGAGGTGCATAAGTCCCATATGGATTGTAGCATCTTAAAGATAGTTAGGAGGATAAGACTAAAGCCTCGTGGCCTCTCTTAGACACCCTTATATACTACATGTGAGCCTTGGTGAGGTTCAAATCTTTGATCTATAAGCAAGTTATCTTTGAGGTAAAATATTTTCACTTAATGTTTTATTTGTTTATTTGTTATTTTTAAATCTTCATAACTTATTCATAATAACTCAGATTTACATGTTTCTTACACCATTGAAAAGATAAAAAAAAATATTTCTAAAAGTAATCTTTTAATTTTAATTTTTAATTTTTTATTAGATAAAAAATTAGTAAATAGACTTGACCAAGTTTTGGATTATGTAATTGCTTGATTTTATTTATTTCAATTCTTTTGTATTGTTCTTCTTTTATTCTTACTGTTTGCTTCTCCACTTCATACCATCAATTACAAGAAATTTTTAATTGAAGCCATCTTGTAACTTGGATTGAAGAGTGAATTTTATACTTATAATTATATTAAATTATCTTTAAAGGGTGATGATTTGACCTTTACTTGAATAGTCATACTATATGTTTAGAGGGCCAATTATAAGAATATGATGTGCAAACTTAAGTCCTTATATATTTTCTTTGACTTCATAACTATAACATTTGAATAAAAAATTAAAAAAATAATATAATTGGATCTTTTACAATAATTACTAGGATTAGATCTTCTATAATAAGTACAAACAATTTCATTCTCAATACAACATTGGCCTAATTGATGTCGCTTTCTGCAAAGATTACGAGAAAGAATTTTCAAAAATAGAATTTAGTAAAATAAATAAATAAATAAAGTAATGAAGGAAGATTAAGTGAACAAAAAATGTTTTATTACATACCATAGAGTTTGTAGGACAAAAAGAAGTTACAAAAATGGACTTGTTGTAGAATGGGGTGAAAAGGTACATACCATAGAGTTTGTAGGACAAAAAGAAGTTACAAAAATGGACTTGTTGTAGAATGGGGTGAAAAGGTACATACCATAGAGTTTGTAGGACAAAAAGAAGTTACAAAAATGGACTTGTTGTAGAATGGGGTGAAAAGGTACATACCATAGAGTTTGTAGGACAAAAAGTAGTTACAAAAATGGACTTGTTGTAGAATGGGGTGAAAAGGGATTAGGATTTATGAAGGATGCAAGTATATTATTGCATTGAGGGTGTGGGCGTTGTTGTGCAAGTTTGTAAGAGTTCAAGTGGGTGAACAAAGGGTGTGGGTGTGTAAGTTTGTAAGAGTTTGGGTGGGCGAGGAAGTGGGGTGGAGAGGGGGGCTTTGGTGCGCGGTGGTGAAGTCGCAGCAAAATGCAGCGACGTAAGGTGGGGTGAGCGGGGGGCGTGAGGGAAGGAAGTGGGGACAGGAAGAAAGAGAGGTCGGGATGGGGAAAAGTGGTGTCGACAGTGGGATTCGAACCCACGCCCTTTCGGACCAGTACCTGAAACTGGCGCCTTAGACCAACTCGGCCATATCGACATCCGCGGGCTGCTGATGCCTGCCTGCCCCCCGCGAGAACTCTGGAGACGCCGGGTATCGATCCCGGTACCTCTCGCATGCAAAGCGAGCGCTCTTCCATTTGAGCTACACCCCCTAGAAAGTTTCTCCTCTTCCTCCCAAGTGGGGCGAGAGAGGCTCGAACTCTCGACCTCAGGATTCCTCTCAGCTATGAGACCTACGCGCTAACCAACTGCGCCACCGCCCCTCATGCCCCGTCGCAATCGCAACCCCCCAATTCCCCCGCCCACCTCCCCCTTCTCGCCTGCCACTCCATTCACACCACCTCCCCCTTCCCTCCGGAGTCCGCCGCGCCTCCGCTGGAGCCATGCGCAGCAGGGGTCGCCATTGCGCTTGCCACAGACGATGAGCACTTCGCAATCCCCGCTGACCCGACGCTCCTTCCTCTCCCCAAAGCGCTCCTATGACTCCCGTCATCTCCTGCCATACCGTATCATACCTTCTCCTTTGCCGCTCGCACTCGCTGCCTTGGAACTACATCGAATCGAACATGGACAACTGGGTGCATCCATGTCCGACCCTCCACGAAATCACCGAGCACGCTGCCGCGTACCTGGAGCTGCTCGTCCTGGCGTCGGGCTTTCAGAGCAGCGGCCAGCCATTCTCCTGGACGCCCGCCAACCTGCGCAAAGCCCTTGCCTGGGCCTCCCATCTTGAGCAGGTGCGCCCACTCCTAAACCTCCTCGCGTCTGGACCCCTCATCCCCCGCCCCCAATTCTGCTCAATCGCGCCCTCTGCATGCTCACACCCCACTGCACTTTCCCTTTCCCCTCGCACCCCAACCCCGAACCACATTCCCCAAGCCGACTGCGCTCTCGGGTCTGGTTCGCGTCGCTGCTGCGTGCCAGCATGCGGGCTTCGTCGCGTGTGTGCTCATTTTGGCAATTCTGCTCTGGGGAGTCGGTGCGAGGTGTTGCTGCTTAGGGTGATGTCATCGTGTCGCAATTTAGATTCGCAATGTGGTTTGGGAGAGGGCTGTTTTTCTTTTTGTTTTTGTTTTGTTGGACCTTTTTTTTATGGTTGTGTTTATGGTTATGCGGGTTCTGCGTTGATTGGATTTGGGTGGTGACCGTGCTCGTCGGTTATGGTACCGGGTTTATGTTACATGGTAGTTTTTATTGTTGGTTTCCTGGATTCGTTTTACGATTTTCGGCCTTCCGTTGTGAGGTTACGAACATGGAAATTTGTAGTGTGCGTTTGGGACTTGGGGATATTCCTGGGTTGTTAGTGACGGTTGCATTGCATTCGTACATATGGCTCAATACTGTGTGCACGTGGTGTGTCACCGACTTCCGCGAGATTTCTTATGTTCTGCTCTGGTATGATCTTGCATTGATTAGGGAGAAATGGATTCGAGACATCCTGCTTGTGGTTGTTTTCGGTTGTTGATCTCGTGACTTGTACTTGTTGGGGTTTAGAGGGTGGCGGATCTTTCTCCAGCGGCGGAGGGAATGGAATCGAGGAGGGCTCTGGACTCTGCACTTGCTAAGCTCACGGCTTCCGCACCAACTTATCCAGCGGTCAGTTGTGGTGTGTGTGTTCTGTTTTCGCGTTGTCGTACACGCCAGCATATTTTTAGGTCGGAATGAGTCGGAGAGGAGCGGCGGGTGGGAATGTTGACCGTGCAGTATTCTCTCATGGTGCTTTCATGGCATTTAACTTCGTAATCTCCATGGTTACCTGATGCCTGCAGGGTTTGCGATGTCTTTCTTCTATTGACCTGAGTAGTGCTCGGAGACTTCTGATACAGGCTCTGCTTCAAGCAGTAGTGCCAGATCCTGCCTACTTTGAATCCATCGTACATTGCTTGAGTCGGAAAGATGAGAATGAAGGTAACCATTCTCTCTATGTCTCCATTTGGGGGGGATTTGGGAACAGACTTCTCGTAGAGTTGCCAACGTCACAGGGTTGCACTGTATTTACCAGGTGAATCAACCAACGTTGCACTGCAAGGTTGAAATCCGCTTCGTGGGATTTTGCGTTCCAGGAGAGATAGGTCATGACGTAAAAGAACTAGTCTCCGCAAGAAATCGAGCCATTAGAAGCGCAGAGTGTATTGGAAATTTCGTCGATACTGCCTTGGGCTGTCTTACTTTTGAGAAAAAGCCGCTCACGCCTCTCACATCCATCTGGCGAACATCGTTGACCAGGTATCCTATCACCGGTTCATGCTTCAATCTTGTTTGTGTGCTCTGCCATACACCTACACTCGATAACAGGCCATGTTACATGAACGGTTAGTCTGGCATCCAATAAATTTGGTTCTGTTCTGCATTACGAGCGCAGTTTTAGCACTGAGTATACAAGTGTTTTTGATTAGGGGTACCAGTATCTCAGCTGTTGAAATAGTAGATGGAATGTATTGTGAGGTTTGGGCAAGAAACGCTGTGGAGTACGTGACATCATTCACCACCGTGTATAAAACAGCAGCAGCCAACCTCATCTTCAAAACAAGAGAAGAAGGTTGGCGGAGGGTGCTCGACACTTCACTAGCTTCCACATCAAGCACCTTGATTGGTGATGGCTGTGGCAGTGGAACTGAGATCGCAGTGAGTCCTCTCATTTATCTTGTCCGAATTTTTGAATGAACGCTGCGAACTGCAAGTCTTTAACGTAGTCTTTGACATGATGCCCTTCCATGAGTTCAGGAGCTATGTTGCCTACAGTTGGGATTCTCCGAATGCAGAAATCTCGCTTTCAGGATTTTCACCTCCACGCTAAACGAAAATGTTGCAACTGAAGAACTTGTATGTCATGCTGGCCGAGAACAAGTAAGGCACAGCGTGCCAGATTTATCAGCGGAAAAGCTGGTTAGTATCGAGACCGTCTTGGCAGAAATCCTCGAAAAGCGGGTCGATGTATGGTGGATACTTCCACCTGTGCTTTTAGCTGGGGTCTGTGCATCAAGGTATGGGAATCGCGGATGCACTTCTGTATAGGTGCCACCAGCACACTTGCATTGAGGACTCTGAAACATAACTGTGTGTCAGTCAAGTCATATTTGAACCATGTGTGTCTCTTGGACCCGGATGTGAATTTCAGCATGTGTAAGACATATATAGGTAGTACGGTAATCTCGGGAATTGAGATGAGTCTGTCGAATCCAATTCAAATTTCACATGTTGATATATGGCTTCCGTTTTCTTGCAGGTTTCGGATGTTGAAGACTTACCTCCACACGATAACTAGAGGACTGGAACAAAATGTTCGTTTCTGCAAGTGTCCCTGCCACCAACGAAGCAGCAATTGCCAAACCTGCCGGCAGTGCACGAACGTCCTGTTGGAGAGGCTCTGGTGCTTTGGCGTGCATCATCCACAACTGAAGAACTTTAATACTCAAGAACTGATTAGTACTTGTAACTATCTTCTGTTCCAGGCCAAAAGAAGACCAATTTAAAATTAATAAAAATAAAAAAACAAAAACACCATGTCCAAGCGTAAGAAACTCATGACGGACGCACACAATCCTTGCGAACAGCACGATAAAACACTGCCACTGTCAGTTGCACTCCTTCAAAACCACTGTCAGGGCCGATCTCTCCCAAACCACATTGCGAATCACACTTGGCTCATCAAGAACATGAGAACTAAGCAGCAACACCTCGCACCGACTCCCCAGAGCAGAATTGCCAAAATGAGCACACACGCGACGAAGCCCGCATGCTGGCACGCAGCAGCGACGCGAACCAGACCCGAGAGCGCAGTCGGCTTGGGGAATGTGGTTCGGGGTTGGGGTGCGAGGGGAAAGGGAAAGTGCAGTGGGGTGTGAGCATGCAGAGGGCGCGATTGAGCAGAATTGGGGGCGGGGGATGAGGGGTCCAGACGCGAGGAGGTTTAGGAGTGGGCGCACCTGCTCAAGATGGGAGGCCCAGGCAAGGGCTTTGCGCAGGTTGGCGGGCGTCCAGGAGAATGGCTGGCCGCTGCTCTGAAAGCCCGACGCCAGGACGAGCAGCTCCAGGTACGCGGCAGCGTGCTCGGTGATTTCGTGGAGGGTCGGACATGGATGCACCCAGTTGTCCATGTTCGATTCGATGTAGTTCCAAGGCAGCGAGTGCGAGCGGCAAAGGAGAAGGTATGATACGGTATGGCAGGAGATGACGGGAGTCATAGGAGCGCTTTGGGGAGAGGAAGGAGCGTCGGGTCAGCGGGGATTGCGAAGTGCTCATCGTCTGTGGCAAGCGCAATGGCGACCCCTGCTGCGCATGGCTCCAGCGGAGGCGCGGCGGACTCCGGAGGGAAGGGGGAGGTGGTGTGAATGGAGTGGCAGGCGAGAAGGGGGAGGTGGGCGGGGGAATTGGGGGGTTGCGATTGCGACGGGGCATGAGGGGCGGTGGCGCAGTTGGTTAGCGCGTAGGTCTCATAGCTGAGAGGAATCCTGAGGTCGAGAGTTCGAGCCTCTCTCGCCCCACTTGGGAGGAAGAGGAGAAACTTTCTAGGGGGTGTAGCTCAAATGGAAGAGCGCTCGCTTTGCATGCGAGAGGTACCGGGATCGATACCCGGCGTCTCCAGAGTTCTCGCGGGGGGCAGGCAGGCATCAGCAGCCCGCGGATGTCGATATGGCCGAGTTGGTCTAAGGCGCCAGTTTCAGGTACTGGTCCGAAAGGGCGTGGGTTCGAATCCCACTGTCGACACCACTTTTCCCCATCCCGACCTCTCTTTCTTCCTGTCCCCACTTCCTTCCCTCACGCCCCCCGCTCACCCCACCTTACGTCGCTGCATTTTGCTGCGACTTCACCACCGCGCACCAAAGCCCCCCTCTCCACCCCACTTCCTCGCCCACCCAAACTCTTACAAACTTACACACCCACACCCTTTGTTCACCCACTTGAACTCTTACAAACTTACACACCCACATCCTTTGTTCACCCACTTGAACTCTTACAAAATTGCACAACAACGCCCACACCCTCAATGCAATAATATACTTGCATCCTTCATAAATCCTAATACCTTCTCACCCTATTCTCTAACAAGCCCTTCTTTTCTACACCCCTCATTACAAATCACTCATATCTTACCTTCTTCTTTTCTCCTTGTCATGTTTCCACTTCTTTTTATGGTGCCTTTCCATGCTCCATGTGTGTTCCTCCCTTACTCCACCTTATGTCATTGTATTTTGCTACAACTTCACTACAACACAATAGAGCCCTCTTTTCTCTACCTCACTTACATGCCCATTCAAACTTTTGCACACTTGTACAACAACCTCCGCACCTTCAATGCAACACATTTTATCCTTCATTAACTCAAATCCCATCTTTGCTCTATTCTCCAACAAATCCTTCTTTCTTACACTCATCAACAGAAATCACTCACATCGAAGAAGTTGATTTACTTTGTGCTGTTGCATGTTTTTGTAAAGATATTAATCTCTATTCATATTGTCATGTGTGAGTCTCAACACAATATCCTCATGTATAAAACTTTTTCATTGTAATCTTCTCACCTCTCTTCTATAGTGTACTCAATTTAAAGAATTCACAAATCTTAGTTGTAATTGAATGCCAATGAAGGTCATTATGTTGTCAAAATGAAAGTTTTTCTGTTAGATTGATTGATTTTAAGATTTGAATTGGTATTGCAAATATATTAGAATGTTCATATATTTGTAAAATGACTTTAATTGTTAAGATTCATCATACTAAGAATATATATATATATATATATATAGATAAATACAATGCATGTATGATTTAAGATTGGTTTATAGTTTTAAGTATTGGGAACAAATTTCCTTGAAGGTTCATTTTGTAGTTTACTAAATTAAAAATAATATTCATAGAAGATAGATTATTAAATATAAACTCAAAATTTAACAAATAAATAACTATCTTAATGATAGGAAATTTTAGATATACACATTCAAGTCTTATATATGAAAAATTGATTAAAAATAAATAAGCAAAATTTCTAGGACTTTAAATGGATCAAAACTTTCATATATTTTAGTATAATTAGAATAAATTTATAGTTATATTTATTAATTATTTATACATCTTTTATACTTGTTTGTATTTTGGCTTTTGGATATATTTTTATAATATTATAACTATAAAAAATATATAAATATTTATTATTATTATTATTATTTATTTATTTTTAAACAATATTAATATTTTTAATATTCAAATGAGAAGAATTAAAAGATATATTTTAGAAACACAAATGTATTGCATAAAAAGATATTTTTGATGTCCAAGTTTATCAAAGTAGAAGAATTAAAAAAATAGTATTTTTGAGTCATTAAAGGCTTTAATTCATAATTTTTTTAATATTATATTTATATTTAAAATTTATAATAAAAATTTCTAATTTTAAATATTTATTAATATATATATATATATATATATATATATATCTTATAAACATTAAAAACTTTAACAAAGTATAAAATATTATCTCTCATTATTTTCTATTGTTTCAAAATTATTCAAAGTAAGAATTCTTTTGGAATTAAATGGAATAATATTCAATGTAGCATTGAAGATAAGATCTAGTTCCAAAACAAAAATCATGTCTTTTGATGTTGCTATTAGAAGATGTAGATTGAAATAACAAATAGAAACAGTAGAGGATCAAAAATAGGGAAGGTGTCAAAATTGAAATGGCTAAAAGTCTCATTAAATCTTACATTGGAATTTTCAATAAATTTATTGAGAATTGGATTCCAAAATGAATGAATCTTACTTAATAAAGAATATCCAATTAAACTATTGTACTATGCTTTTTGTAAAATATGAAAAATTGAACTAACTAATTTGGAAATAAACCTCGTAATCTCTATGAATGTTTGCCGGCCTCCTTCACATACCTAGATGTCAATTCCCTTGCACCAATATTTCTTGATTTCATTTTCCAATTGCTCTTAAATTTTGTATAATTGATAGAAATCAAATATACTATAAGTTTGCTAAAATTTATTTAAATCCAATTAGCAAGAATTTACTTATGTTGAAAACTCTTCCCGATCTTCCAAACTCCAATTTTCAAGATCTCAATCCACTTGAGTAACAATAACCTTAATATAAACCGTTTGATCAAGTTCAAACTTATAACACATATTTAATACATCTATGATTACAAATAAAATAAAATAAAATATCACCTATATATCCACTACAAATATCATGAAATTATTCAAAGTATAAACTATTATAATTTCTCAAAAACCAAAATCATTCCTAAACAATCCTAACTTTGCAATATTTTTACAAAATCAGTACAATTTCAAAATTTATGCATAAAAAACCTTTCTCAATTTTTCTTTCAATTTTTGTACTTTAATCAAGCAAAAAACACTTCATTTATTGTAGGCGCATTATTTTGTATCTAAGGATCTTGTTTCATCCTTGATTTGCAACCAGTCCTCTATAGGTATGAATTTAAGATTTTTTAAAGAAATAGTAGCCAAAAATTATTCTTTATTACTATCTTAAGATGCCTTAAGAATTTAAAAAAGTATATCTTATTTTATCTTGTTTATATTTTCATAAAATAAGTAGAAGTCCTCTTTTTAAGAATACAACATTAACATTGATTAGTTTTATTACCTCTTTGATTATTATCTATATTTTGAAGGTAATTTTATTCAATATCTTGAATTAAGTTCTATTATCGTATGATCTATATTTCTCTCTTCTACCTAATAGCCTTGTTATAATATAATATTAGAATAATACTACTATTAATGATTGATAATTTAAAATAATTAATTATTAAATATAAAGAAGTGTAATGGATTTTTTTGGAATAATGGAAGATTTTTAAAAAAAAATGTTATAAAAAGCTAATACAAGAAATTGACTTGCTTGCCTTCTAAGATTGTATTAAATTTTTATTTTGGATAAAACTTACAAGAATTAGATATGGTTATAAATGAAGTACCAACTTTAAAAATAATACTTATTGAGATAAGATTATATAAAAGCAAAAGAACATAAATCACATTTATAAGAAGTTTAAATAAAAAAAAAAAATGGACTTGATAAGTTATAAAAATATAATTTTAATTACAAGTCCAAAATTTGTAATTGTTATTAATCAATTACTTTCTAAATTTAGAATAAATATATTAAAATATTTATAAAAAATAAGTTATATATTTAATAGCAACAAATTTATCTTTCTAGTAATTTGCACTAATATATATCTATTATAATTTTTATCAAAAAGAACAACTACAATTCAATATAGGAGACAAAATATAGTTACTTCATCATAATAGCAAGACTACTTGTCCTTGTGATAAATTAGACTATTGCAGGCTTGGACCTTTTCTTATTTGTAACAAATCAATCAATTTGCTTATTAATTACATCAATCAAAGTCAACAAAGATCTACCATATATTCCACATATCTCTTCTTGAACAATACAAGATTGTGAACATACCAAGAAAAAAAGAAGTTCCACCTCTTCTCATAG